TGTTTAAGTAAATTTTTTCTTCTATTTTCTTTTAATTTTTGGCTTTAGCTAACAACTCTATTACCATATTTAAACCGATAGACAATGAACGTCTTACAAGCGAATTTCGGACAGGACAACGCAGCTCTAAATTTAAATGTGTTTTCAGATGAAAACGCGCCAGATGCCGCTTCGGTTTGAAATTTTATGCAAATAAAATTCAGTAGCCACTTCAGATACTTTGTATGCAAATCGCACTACATTCAATACCAAAATGACCGTTTGAAGATTTGTTACTACTTCAACTTTGCAAAATTATTTTGAAATGAAAATAAAAGTATCTTTCTCTGCCGGAGGTAATTTTCATTCGACGAATAACGTTTAAATAATTTCAGTTTAAACATTGATTATATGACGTATCATTATTTATTATTTATTTATTTTCTGTTTCTTTTTTTTAATGAAAAGCATTGATTTATGAGAAATTATTAACAAATATTTATGCATCTTTTACTCGCGAGTTTAACGATCGTCCGTAAATAACAATTAAGTCGAATAAACAGTAGCGAAGCGAAGCACGGTTATAATTTTGCAGAAAAAATAAATCTATAAGCATTTTTCCTTACAAAAACACTCATAAATTTATACGCCAATTTTATATAAATTGTATTTTTATTTTATATAAAAACTGGATATTAAAAATATTATCGTTTTAGCTTATGGGATTTTAATAAATTGTAAACTTAAGTAAAGTAATTAAGTGTAAAAAACACTTATTTCATTGTATAAAATTTATATTAAAATAAGTCTACTAACATAGTATATATTTTTTACAATTTTAGCAATCATTTACATAATTATTTTATGATTACTCGTTATTTCTTGTAACTATCAGCATCATTTTCAATTATCTATGAAGAAAAAAAAAACTATCTTATCTCATTCCGCCATTATGCCAGTATTTTGAATTTGGTTTTTCTGATCATCTTTTCACATAGGATATTATTATCATTAAAAACTTTAAGATATACTACTCTCAGTCTGATCAGAACTTGAATTCATTTTAAAATAACACAATTATTTACTATCACGATTTGGCCACACATTCAACTAAAAGATTATGTGACTATGGAATATGCCAGTATATCGAATTTGGGTTTTCAGATCATCTTCTCACATAGGATATTATTATTATTAAAAACGTTGAGATATACTACTCTCAGTCTCTTTAGAGTTTAATCTCTTTCCAAAATACCACAAATATTTAATATAACGATTTGGCCACACATTCAACTTAAAGACAATAGTACAGACTATGGAAATGACTATATACTATAGAAATTGGGTTCAATATTTACCATATATATAATATTTTCAATATTATATATTATATATTATTGTATTGTATATGCCATACTATATACATAGTATGGTTTTTTAATAATTACAGTATTAAGTTCAATTATTACTACATGTTATTGAAAAGATATGGTCAAGACATAGTTTTTATATCAATGGTAATTCAAAAAACATTTATATTATCCTTGTATACTTAACAATAGTAACACAACTCAGAACGTTTCGATGGCTAATAGTTGTTCCTCATGGAAAGTTCATTCAACCTAACCTAACATAACCTAACCTTAAATAACAAAAAATTTTTTTTTATGCGAAGAGGAGTAACAGTCCATAAGAAATCAAAAATAATACTTAACATTATTTTTATTTAAAAATTCTAGATTAAACAATAATGCAAAGTTTAAAAAACTATTTTATTGACATCGTGACTGACACAAGATCTGCTTTCGATATGGTAGAATGTACCTTCTGCTCAAAAAGTATCCGGATTTTGTTGTTTGTTAATTACTCCTTAAGTAATAGAGCTTTTTCAAAATTTTTTTATTGTTAGGTTGGTACACCCTTTTTTTACATATGGTACAAATTTGAGCGCCATCTGTCAATTAGTTTGTTTACAGCAGCTGTTAATGTGAGACTATCTCAAGTGCGTTTAGCGATTTTTACTATGGAAAATTCTTGTTGTACGCGATTTTTTAACCAAACACGTCGCCACTGTCATCGCTCAGGCACCATATTCGAAAAGATCTGGATTTTTTTTTTGTTCCCGAAACTCAAATTGCCCCTTAGTGGTAAGTCGATTAAATCGGTAAAAGAGAATTCGCTGAAGGAACTAAAAGTCATACCTTCCCGGGCCTACGAAAAGTGTATGGAAGATTGGGTTAAGCGTTGGCATATGTGTATCGCTTCAGAAGGAGCATATTTTAAAGGAGATAAAATAAATTTGGAATAAAATTCAAATTTGTGTGTTTTATTTACAAAATCCGAGTACTTTTTAAGCAGAAGGTATATTATAAATAATTAACTAATTAATTATTCTCTCTTTTTGTTAACTTCAAAATATATTCGGAATAACTGCTGGTCAAATAATAAGTATAAGGGATGAAGCGTTACGTCAATACATGACTTGAAATCCGTAAAAGAGTACTATTTTATCTTTACCAATTCGGTTTAATATTCACTTTCTTTCACATAATATCTCAGTATATTGTGACGCATGAATTACAATATGTTCCATACTTAACATTGACTGATCTTAATTACTTTAACTGCATCCAAAAATTTCTTCAGCTTACGAAACATTGGAAACACAAATAAAAACTATATTAATCACTAAGTGTTCAGAAATCTTAATATATAACTTTCAACACTTTTATTAAATACTTTCCATTATCGTAAAGAATGCATAAATAGGAAGAAATACTACTATTTATAGTTAATTTGAACTGCAAATAGCTTATGTAATAAATTGGAAGAACTTAACATTCTTAATCAGATCATATTATAATGCATATATTTTTCATAACTATTCAACATTGTTGATCAGACCATATTATAATGCATATATTTTGCATAACTATTTAATCAATTTGTTAGTTAAAGCCTGAGATGTCGAAAGTCAAGTACTTAATAGGTATTATTAACGTTAAACTTAATTATAATTAACAGACAATTTTAAATTATCTTAAGACATGTCTACTTTACTTTTATATAAATTCAATATTTCTTCAATAAAGAGTGAAGTAAATGTAGTATACATAACTACAACGTGATAGAGAATGATTAAGATACATATTTTGCATATAAGATAAAAAAATTAAAAAACAATATCCTTTGTAGCGTTTTTAACCTATAATCATAAAATTAGATATTACACAAATGCCAATGTATGGTAAATAATATCTGATTTTATTATTATAGGTTTTTACCCTAAATATTGTAATTTAACACAATTTATCAATATAAGTCACTAAACAGTAATTGAGATTTCTTTTCATTTTCGCTGAGTCATTGATATCAGGCATATATATTCAGTTATTTAATATTTATGTCAGTTTGTCATGTTAATATAAATATATCCATAACTTACTAATATACAATGAGATAAAAAATAAAAATATTAAAATTCAAGTCAGTATGTAAAGAAAAAAAAAAATTTTCAAAATGATTAATGTTAACCGAACAATACATATTTAATGAATCGAATTATTACTAACAGAGAGTGAGTCTAAGTGCATTTTAATTTAATTAAGATAAATCGCTAGCAACAATATGCAATACAAATTAATTAACTGCCAAGCAAGTAATTAAAAACGACTCTACTTTAAAACACGAAATGCAAATGAAATCGAAACCGAAACCGAAAGCGACAAGTATCTGTTGTATACACATAAATGTCGCAAAACAAAGATAATAAATATCTCATTTAAATATAACATTCCGTTACTGCAACTACGTCATATGATTTCACTGAACAGATTAATAAAAAACTACAGTTTGTTTAAACGTAGAATGAAAACTCAATTTCCATTTTGCATACAAAACTATAAATGCAATTTGCTCGATGCACTTCACACTTTCGATTTCAGTCGTTTGTTATGGGTATCTCACGCTTTAATCTGTGATGAATTCTGTTATTGCTCAGATTTTTGGTTTGTCTAGTAGTACTAGCTGTACTACTAAAAGTACTAAAACCTTCAACCCATTAAGTGTTGAACAATACTTAATTACTCTGGATCGAATTAGTAAATCAATTGTATTTTGAAAATGTTTTATATTATATGTTATTTAACTACTATAAAGTAATATATAATTATGAGGTTATATTGTGATGAAAGAAGTCAAGTCTAATCTGCTTTGGCAATTGAGCAAACTCCTAAATTTCTTAGTTTGCATCATGACAATTAAAAATTAGAAAAAGTCTAAACCCTTTGAGGCAGTAACTTAATAGTTAGAAGAATGAAATGGTTACAAACTAAGTACTCGCCATCATTTTAATTAATTATAAAAATACTTTAATAATGAATACTTTAATAATATAAAATAATATAAACAATTGTATGGCTTCACCTAACAATGTATTAAAAATAGTCAACATATTTCTACAGCAGTGATTCCCAACTAGAGGTCCGCGAAATGGTTACAAATGGTCCGTGAATCAAATGTATACATGGCTACATAGCTTGTAGTTTGTGCATTGAAACCTCATTTATTACGACATACTTATTAAAATAAAGAAATATAGACATAAGGAGCCTGGCAAACATACTTAACATATATCTTTGAAAAATAATCTACTTTCTCATGCGCACAGGGTAATATTAGAACTGAAATCAAGTTTTTGGTAATAAAACGACATCTAAGAACTACTTGAACCAAAGACAAGACTCTGCCACCATATAAACCAATCATTCAATATGCTTATTTAAAATTGCAGAACTTACGCTATCTGAAACAGATACCATTTGCTTCTATTTCGTGCTGTTGCTCTCAATTCGTCCATTTTCTTTTTTTGGTTGTATAGTGATTGATATTTTTTATAACACAGTTTCGTCTGCCTTGTAGTTTCCATTCATACAGATGGATATATTATGCCGCTAAGCGTTTTGCGTAGTCTGTGTCCTAACCACACATACTATGCTATATAACTGTACGTTGATAACGTAATGATTCTTGGTCGACAGATTTTTAGAACTAGTCAAAGAAAACTGTTAAGTAAGTGTATAGTTTAAGTAACACAGTATCTATTAATAACCAAATATCAAAACCTTACCATAGTACTGTAATATGTATGTCTGTCCCGACAGCTCTATATACCATTGATGTCTTCTTAAATTCCTATGTAGTATACCAAACGCTTCATAGGTCAATATCCATTGCCTAAAACACAAAAATAGGTGGATTGACCATACATTGCTTTAAATTTTCAAATAACTTAACACAATTTTTATTTTATTTATCTATTTTTACTATGTAAATCTTTTTAATTGTGTTTGATAGGTCAATCATTTTGTTATTTGCTGAAAAAAAAGAAGATATTTAGTATTTTATTAAAGATACAAACTAAACACATCAAAATAAATCATTTCTTGATCAACTCTTTTACACAAAACACTTTTTATTATTTATTTAATCATAATTGCTAATATTACTGCTACCATACAAATACAATTATACTAATTAAAACATAAATAAGAAATTATAGGATTTTACTTTCATCTCTTCAAAATTGATTTGATTCCTTGCTTTCTTTTATTAGCCGTTAAATTGAATGCAAGTTTGTGCCTTAAGTCTTTTGCTTTATTGTGCATTCATATGAGAACGACTAACCGATACCCAGCAAATAATAAAAATTCATATGAGAACAACTGAACTGAACGATACTCAGAAAATAATAAAAATTACTGTAAATTTTTATTAATAATTAAAAAGTTATTAAAATTTTTAATACCAATAAATTTATAAAATATATTCGTGCCAATAAAAAGAATTAAATAAATTTCAGCACTGGCGGCACTCAACGATAAAGTGATCTGCCAATAAAACAAACAAACTTTAAATAAATATTAATAAAGTATAAATTATTAAACATGCTTTTATTATTATGCAAATCATTTTTAATAAATTACTTATTATTATTTTGTTTTAAATAACAGTATATAAACTCACAATAAAAATAGCATATAAAATTCAGACCAAATTTTTGGAATTTCCTTGGCAAGTTGCTGCGTTCTTATTGTTTTCATTGAAAATATTTTTATCTCAAAAGTATAAAAGAACCCCTCCCATTTCAAATGCTAATTCATCAGTAATTCAAGGCAAAAGAATATTTTTATTGCAGTTTTTATTTTTATGCTCCAAATAATCCAAATGTTGCAATATTCGTTTTTTAAGTTTTCAATAGAATGCAAACATCGTGCTCTAAGGCGATGTTTTTATTCAACACATACCAAAGGTTTTGATTGATTTATGCGCCATTATTGTTTTGTTACTTTTTATGTGCAAATATGCACACAAATTCATCATAAACTTCTAATAAAATTTATATTTTCTATTCTATTCTATGGCATTTCAGATAGAACAACTGATCAGTCACCGGCAGGTTCATTTTGGAATTCTCGCGTTGTGACACCTTCTAGCTCAACACCATTTGATTCGCCGTTCTTTGGTGCCACCCATGGCTTAGTGCAGACTCATCCATCACTAAGTGCCAGTGCTAGCAAGCCACGACCTGTGCCACTAAACAGTAATAGTCTTGGTAGTGGTGCAAGTAATGCTGCTCTGACAGCTGGCAGCGGATACCTAAATTCACGTGGCAGTTTTCCTAGCTCAGCGCGCTATCCCACCACAGTCGTCAATGCTAATCCAAAGTCACCATTTCGCCATTTAGATTTTTCAACTAGTGCTACAGCAGAGCTCAGGCGCAACCCATCTCTTTCTGCACCCGACGAATGCGCACGTGCCTGCAGAGAGGGTGAACCACCCAGAATTTGTTATTATCACTTCACATTGGAATACTACACTGTTTTGGGAGCGTAAGTAAAACGATTGCTATATTTATACATCTTGACTTTTATAACTATAAAATAGGTTGATTTCAGTATGAGTCGTTATATTATGAGTCGTCAATTTTAATTTAAAATTGGATTTAAAAATTATAATTTTATTCATTGGCAATATCAAACACTGATTGTAGTGAAATTTGTTTCTCAAGTTTTCTGTTGTCTTATTAAAAAATGATTTGTTGTGTGGAAATTACCTTATAAAAAGAAAAAGCATGAGTTTTTTTATTAAGATTTGAATTATTTCACTCTACTCATGAGGGAAGTACATTCAAAACGTATGAGTGCCGAAAAAATGTTTGTAATCAATGAAGATGATGTCGGTATCATAGAGATAGGCATGTCACCGCAAGATGACGATGTTTTCAGTTGGCAAATAAATATTAAAAGTGACATAACAACTATTTTTGCCATCCATTTCGATAAAGATTCAAAAAGATACAAAAGAAGATACAAAAATAGATACAGAAGAAGATACAAAAACATGTAAAAAGCACGCGTAAAACTAATATCAGAAGCATAAGCTTGTGACAGCAGCTTTTGTATCTCTTGTACTACACAAAGACGACTTGAAACTGCTTGAATCACTCCGTCTCATGCAAGTCATTGACTCAAAACTTTATGGCTGCAAAACAATCGAGCGCGTTGAAAGCGCGGCGCCACAACAAAAGCAACTCCGCCGCTTTCAAGTCTACCCTGAGGTGCTAAAAGTCAGTAGACAAATTCTCACGCTTCGTTTTGCTTTGGCAAATATTGCCCCGTGCCCGGTAGCTCCCTCGTGCACAGAGCAAAGCATTAAGTTTGCCAGTAGCTTTAGCAGATTTATTAATTGGTACTTCGTCAATCTTTACAGTTGACTAAACTTCGAAACTCAATAAAAATGCAACGCTCATTGAAATTCAGCGTTGCAAACTCATTTCAAAGCTGTTCCATTTGTTCTAAATTAGCTCTCAGATACATTGTGGACTGCTTTGTTCACCGACTGATGGGGTTTGGTCATTGTTGCATGAGTTATTTTTTAACATTTAATTTTACATTTAATTTTACATATATTTCTAAATTTGCACTTAACCTGTATATTTTTAATATAGATACATAGGTATAATTTATATATCTTTTTCATTAAATGTACTTATTAATTTTAATTAAATAATAATAACAATTTGTAATAAAATTACGTATTATTGCTGTAATTAATTCTTCAACGTGGTATTGATTTCTTCTATGCTCAGAGTTAATAATATTAATTTAAGGAATTTTTGCTCTATTAATTATAAATCGCTTAAAATATTCCCACTGAAATATCAGTCTATTCATTAAAAAACAATAAGCATGACTTCATTATTAAACACTTTGTAAATACATAAATAAATTATATATAAAACTAATTATTGAAAGTAGATCTTTAACGAAATTAGTGTAGGAGATATATAAAAGGGTGTTCTATTACAAACTAAATTAAATTGATCAATTATGTTAAAGATTCTTTTTCTGTGTATACTATTATGTTGAGGATAGTTGGGTGAGTGCACCTGAGTACTTTTACTCTCTATTAACTGCGAGGTTTCTTCAAAACCCTCCTTTGCGCCTTGACTAGATTATTGTTTATCACTACATCAGACTAAGCAATAATTGACCTATGTATATATGCTTTAAAATTTCAGTGTCTCTGTATTGTATATCATACTCTGATACTATTTTAATCACTGCAGTATGTGCTTCAAAAAGCTACGAAAGAATAATTCTAATATGAGTGGGATGGTTAATAAAACTCCAAGGCAACAGAGCATAGAATAAGTTGAAGTCTTTTTAAAAGAAATCTTTAAATACACTTTATACGTTACATACACATGTAGATAAGTTAGCCACAGTTCCATTTAATAGTAACGATCTGATTAGGTAGACAGCAGATATTAGTGTATTAGATATTAGTATACAGATATTAGTATAAATTTAGGACGTGTGCGAGTTAGGCTAAACCAAATGGGAGATTTTTTGGGATTTTTTGCACTGCACACATTTAGCCATTTATCAACTCGTATCGACACATCACTACATTATCGGCACAACTTAGAATTTCCCTCATTTAGAACGCAACTTAGCCTAACTCGCACACGACCTTAATATCAGTTTGAGGTAAACAATTTTCTTCACAAAAATGGGTAATAGCTAGTTGCATTCTAGATATTATCATGAAGTACATTACTAATCACAACTTTGATTAAATTCATAATTTTTTGTTGATTCTAAATTTGTTGTAGTAGTCTTGCTCATTTATATTAGTCTATTTAAAGCCTCGGCTGGCATCAGTAGAACTATTGCTAATTTTATTAGTTGTGAACTTAGTTTTCAATGTCTTCAATATCATCATGTTATTGTTAAGTATAGGCTATGTATGCACTGCGACCTGAAAGAACTTTTATGCAGTCTTTCACCCATCTATTCCAATTCCAAACTTTTGTAGAATTTAATGACAATTGTAAACCATAATTTAGTTATATGTTTAGGGCTCAAAACACCACTGATAGATAGTTAAATCTGCATCTTACCATGACTGGGCTGACACATACAACGTGTTCTGCTGTTTCCTGTTGCTCTATATCATCAATGCGTTTCAAAAGTCGAAAACAGATCCTAAACAAAGTCCAAATAATCTGTGAGTGCAGTTGTTTACAATTAAACCAAAGATGTTAACACTGGTTTTCAATTAATATTTTGTATATATACTCTCATATTTTGTTTAAGCTTTGGATATTTTTGTTGGCTTTTGTTCTTCATTAACTCTGAAGATAGTCCAAGAAGTAGACAAGAAATAGAACACTAAAATCTTTTATTTTTAATATAATTTAAAAATAACAACAAGAGAAACAAATACAATAAATATAAAAGAGAATATTTCTGACTTCCGACATATATGGAAAGTGATTTTTCTTTCATCTGCCAACGCAGCACTAAACTTTTATAACTAGTATATTATTTAATGCTTCAATAGAGTTATTAATTACATATTTCTTTTAAAAATCGTATTAAGTTCGACTGCAAGGAAAGATATATTCTCCAAGTTGTTGAAATTGTTTTTGGTGACATTTTCTTCAACACTGTCTGAAAAGAATTTCTGCATTACTAGATGATTACACAAATAATAGAACAAATACACAATGAAGAAGAATTTCTAATATTGTAAGAAAATAAATAAGCTACGAGCAAACATTTTAATTTAATTGCGGACGCTATGCATGACATGTATGCATCTAATCTTTAATATATGACACCATGACGTGATTGAAGTCATTAAAGTCATTTCTTCGAAAATATTTCTAAAGACTCCTATGAATCTGATAGTTTATCAGACTGCTCAATGGTAAGGATGAAAGACCTGTTAAATTACCTAAATTCGGTGGGATGGATTTAGTCTCTACTCTTCTATACTAGGGTTCTTGCGAGGAATGTGGTAACAAAACGGCGAAAAATCGCTAATTGAGGTACATTTGAAGTTATCTTATGACCTGCCACTGCAACCAACCAACCAACCTATGAATCTTTAAGTATGAACCATGTCTGCCTAGCTATCTAATTCTAACTACCTAATTGCTTCGCTATGTGATTTGCTTTTTTAATATCATGCATTTGGTTTCTTAATAAATTATTGAATAATCTTTAATGTTTCAATCCACTTAGTGAAATTATTCATAATTTATTGACGCATTTCGGAATACATAAATTTCTTATTTGATCGCAAATATGGAAATATGATAACAATTAATTATAATATTCTTAACTTTAATTAGCACATAATATCTTGTAACAGTTAAACTAATATTTATAAGCCACTTTTTGCGTTATACACGTAACTAACTGAAGTAAACTATCTTAGTGAACTGCCATTTGTGACACATAATTGAATACTAAATAACCAGTTCTTGACGGGAGCTGCTAAGCCGAGATACTATTGGTGTTAATTTCTTAGTTAATATATTAGTAACAACCATAAACTACTTATTTCGAAATATAATAAACACATTCAATTTATTTTTTAATTAAAACCAAACACAAAGGCAATGGATTGTCAACAACAATTCCGAGATTTATGCACATTTGCATGTGAATACATATGTCAGAAGCATGTTTTTCGACCAGTGAAAGGTCCACATTTTATTTTTCATAATCTGGTATTTCAAGAATAGTCGGTAATAATAGATTTCAGAGATATGTGTGGTATTGGACTGGCATATGAATATGCATGTGATATGCAAATATCACTTTTCAAAATATTTGCATTTATGTTAATTCAAATATCTAAGTAAATTACGAGTAATTAAACTAAAAGAAACAGTTTTTGATCGCTTTAGTTAATACCCACTATAGTTTAACCTTAGATTAATTTAAGACACTTACAGAACTAAATGAAAGTGAATGCAGATTTATTAGCTTTAACAGAACATATTATATCCTACGGTGCTACTCGTAAATAAAATGGATTATGGACTTAAAAAAATAGAAATGATGTATTGACCTATCCTATGGGCATTTGCTCTACACCTTGCTGCACATAGCTAGCTCTTTACTTCCTTTACATTTCCTTTATAAATTTTATTATGTTTGGATCGTTTTGCACGAATGATTTAAAAATTTATTCCTAATACAAGTTTTTGCCACAGTCTTTGAAAGGTAAAAATGGAGTAGGCCGTGCTTGGTAATTATTTAAGAAAATTTATTAACTTCAACTGCAACTGTTAACGAGTATAAAATGCGTGAATAATGGTCAATAAATGCAAATTGCACTTTTTGAATTGCAGTCTCAAGCGAATGCAGAAATTTGCAGTGCAAACAATGTTCACACAAATATAAATAACACTAAGTGAATATTAATTTAAATTTAATTTACAATTTCGTTAAGCACTCATAATAAAGAAAAATTAACTGGCTCCATAGTTTTATGATATATAGTGGCTCATACTGCTTTCTCGTCATACACCGAACAACTTTTTCTTTGTTTTTAATGAGCTGAGATTTTTAATTTTTATTTTTGTGTTTTTGTACTTTTAGAGCTTGTCAGGTATGCACACCGAATGCCACGAATACCGTCTGGAGTCATTGCCAATGCGTGTTGGCGGATGGTGTCGAACGTGGCATATTAACAATCAATCGCATGATACCGGGCCCCAGCATACAAGTGTGCGAAAATGACAAGGTTGTCATCGATGTTGAAAACCACATGGAGGGCATGGAAGTCACTATACATTGGCATGGAATTTGGCAACGTGGTTCACAGTATTATGACGGCGTGCCATTCGTAACACAATGCCCCATACAACAAGGCAACACTTTCAGGTGAATTAATTTAAACTTTTACCTTAACATATGTGCTTAAGCACTCTTCGTAATTTCTAGATATCAATGGACTGGAAATGCCGGTACACATTTCTATCATTCCCACACTGGTCTGCAGAAACTGGATGGTATTTATGGTAGCATTGTAGTGCGGCAGCCACCTTCACGTGATCCAAATTCTCATTTGTACGACTTTGATTTAACCACGCATATAATGTTGATCAGTGATTGGTTGCATGAAGATGCAGCAGAACGTTATCCAGGTCGTTTGGCTGTTAATACCGGACAGGATCCTGAATCTTGTCTTATCAACGGTAAGGGTCAGTTCCGTGATCCAAATACTGGTTTCATGACGAATACACCACTGGAAATTTTCACAATTACACCTGGCCGTCGTTATCGTTTCCGTATGATCAACGCCTTCGCTTCAGTGTGTCCGGCTCAAGTAACAATTGAGGGTCACACAATGACTGTTATTGCTACAGATGGTGAACCAGTGCAGCCCGTAAATGTAAACACGATTATTTCATTCTCTGGTAAGTCGACAACATTTCATGGTTTTATTTTTGCCTTTTTTGTAGTGTTTCTTTGTTGGCTTGCATTTTTGCATTGAATGCAATTAATGCTGTAAAAATGCATGCAGGATGTAATGCAGATCTAAAGCAAGACAATGCATTGCATTTTAAAAGCAATTTATTAACACAATAGTGATTTTTAAATGTTTAACATTAATGCATTTTATTCGTATTAAAATCTATGTTAAATGCTTGAGGTTTAAACATATTTGTGCACACTAAGACACTATTTATCCACAATCCACGCGATTGTCAAGAAAATGTTTGCAACAAGCATTGCATATTTATTTTAACTACATTTCTTACTCTATTTGCTATTTTAAAAAAATGATAAAAATATTTAAAATGCTACAGCATAGGTCAATTTTTTACATTTTACAACTTTAACTTTCCATTAGGCATTAATATAAAGAGACTATATTTAGTTCCGATCTGCTCAGTTTTTAAATATTTAACAAAAAATATATCTGTTAAATAAAATTTCCTGTTTAATATTCTCAGCTTTCTGTTATATTTATTATTTTTCCATACTTTTAATCGGTTCTCGATGCTCTGCGGACAAAAAACTTATTTTTAAAATATCTGATCCCCAATTAAAACTGTAATTAATTGTTAGATAACAACAACAATGCGTCGTTAATGTTACGACATTTCTGACATACGTCAAACTAAGTATACAGTTTATCTTTTTGTATTTGAAAATGCACCTTACTTTAAAACAAAGCGAAAAATATCGGTCAATTTCTCATAGACACATCGTCGGTCTTCGATATCATCTTATCGAATTAAATATGACGGTATTCTATCACCATATATAGAAGAGGAAAAGACATCCTACTACATTCTGTTTAATTGTCCTAATGTACACCCAATCCGAAAAAGATACCTTATGGGAATACTTGCCTAAGGTAATAAAACATTTTTTAACCTTTATTTAACAGACAGGGTTTTGTTTCATCATGAACTTATTGCTTCACAAAAAGTTTATTTCAGACCTTTTGTTCTATAACTATTTCTCTCTGTCACTCTCCCTCCATCGCTCTGATTATTCTGACTGGTTGAGCAATATAAATCTGCATGTATGTCATTTATACAGATATATAAAATATTCGTATATAATTTATAATTTTCATGATAGAAATAGTGTTAGATAGAGATAGATATAGTGTTAAAGTATTTTTTAAACCTGTAGTACTTTAATTTTTATTTATACTGAAAAAAATCTAAATAATCTTTTTACAATAACTTTTTTTTACAATAATATGAGCCTAGGTAAAACCTAGTGTGGGATAGAGATAAGCCCCCCAGCCATTATAGAGTAAAAGTGCGTAATAGCACTAACTCAAGAAGAAGAAGAATCAAGAAGAATGACCAACTATTGTCTTTTTAAGTCATGAAATGAAATATAACACCAGGAAATATATGTTCTCTGAAACAATAATAAATTATAGAGTTTTAAAATCCTTTTGATAATTTAGATCTATTTAAGACTGCATCTTATTTAATCGTATCTTCCACTTTCGCCAGCATTTATTTTATCTCTCCATATAATTATAGTTTTCAAATTAATGTTATGATAAAACTAATAACTATCACAATTCCATATAAAAATTAGTCCCTATACGACAAATACTAAATTTTGCATAAAATAATACCTTTACCTTCAAACTTTAAATAGGAGTCCAGCTAATAATCGAATAAAGATAAGGATCGAATAATGAACCAATAAAATTAAACAAAAATTACAAATACATAAAATCGTACAAACAACAACAAATTCTATTATTAATTTGTGTGTATTTGTGTGATGCACATATATTTGCATTTGGTGCTCTGCCTTTAACTTTTGCCTACGAATTTTCCGAATAATTTCAATGCGAATAATAATCGTAAATCCGGATATTTGAAGACTCCGGATTTTGACTCCGAAAGACTCCGGACTCGGATTTTTTTTGTAAATTCGAAGACTTCGTTCATTATCCGATTAATCGGATTCTCCGAATACTTCGTTAAACCGAACAGCACAATTTTAAAGATCTACTTTGAGTTTAAATTTGTTCAGTTTTTAGACTTTTTCACAAGCATTTAATCTCTTTTCCTTACAATAATAATCAGAAGAATTCTGTAAACTACTTACATACTTACTTGATTGTATATGGAAACCCATTGTCGGGTTTCAGTCAGACGCAGCACTTCTCTCCATGTGAATCTGAGTGTTACCTCAACTTGATCATTTCATCGAAGGCACAAATTATCTCTAACTGTCACTATGAACCCTTTTTAACTGAAGCATCGTGGATCTTTCTCACGATATGACGAAACCAGCAAAGCAACTACTTAGTTTGGGTCAATTAAATATTTGTTTAAAATATTTCTTATGTGTTGAAATATTGCATCACTTGTAATAAATAATCTCATAGGACATGATGTACTATTTTCGCTTCTAGTGATATAAACTAGAAATTTATTGTAATTTTTTGACAGACGGTGCGACTTGATTAGAGCGCAGGAAATATAAAAACTTTCTATTATTTCCGAGCTCACTTCTAATACCCAAATACCACAATAACTACCGGTCGGGGTTTTTATCCAAATAAATTTTTCTTTCCATAAATTATAAAAAAACTATTGAGGTTTTGTTAGCATTTGTCATAATTATTTCGTATTTACATGAGAAAATACCACAAACCATTTCATAGCTTCGTGGAAAGCATTTTTCTATGGAAAAAAAATATGTACCTATATAGAAATGGAAAGTGCTATAAACTTTACTATAGCGGAATGAGCATGTGTCAGAGTCATTTATATTATTTTTAAATTAAATAAAAATTGGTTTTATTATAAGACGCAAAATAGGTATTTTTATGGAAAACATTACAAAACACATAAGCTCACATAAAAGATAATTTCCATAATTATTATATCACTCCGAATTCATAACAATGATATTGTTTTGTTAGTTTGTTAAGTACGCATTGTTAAAATTACATAAAACATCACGAATATATAATTTCAACTTAAAATGTTCAATAAAAGTTTAAAATAATGCAACACCCAGTTTCGTGACACACTAAACCTAACCT